CGCCCTTCCCCCCCCCCCCCCCCCCCCCCTCTTTTAGTTAGGAAATTAGTTCGTTTTCTAGTTTCCTGTGAGTTATAGATTCAATAATTTTTTCTGGTGTTACCGATATTGCAGCTCTCGGTACTTTAGATTTTGTTCGAAATCTGGGGCTTTAGGTCTTGCCCTCTGTTTGGCTACTGGGAAAATGGCTCAAGCGAAGTGAATTTGAACGAAATTTTTTTAAAAAACCGTGTTTAAATTAGCTCGGAATGAAAACCCTATATTAAGTGAGCCATTATGTATTAGGTTGGGTTCTTTGGGACACCCACTAGTAAATTATTCTTATGTACTACGTTAAATTTACTCATTTGATGTTTCCGTGAGCAAGAAATTTCGCCTTTGCCTGTATTTTAGTTCTTTTCATTTATTTGTATATGAATGAAATTTAATTTTCGAGAAGTCATTGAAAGGGTTGGCTTAATATGTACCCATAATTTATTTTATTTTTTACTTAAAAAATTAAATTTTATTAGATTTTTTTTTTTTGAAGTAATCATTTAGTTCTATTCTTCATACAAATTATAGCCCGTTTGGTTCATGGATTAGAACCATGAGATTAGAACCATTTTCGATTTACGTGTTTTTTTTGTGAGAAAAAATACTGTAGCGAACCATGAACTATGATTCGAATCAGAGAATGAATTCTCCAACCAAACGGGCTCTTAGTTTTGGGCGTTCTTTTGCTTTCTCTTGGATTGTGTGGAAGTTTCTAAAACATGTCTAGGATGAGCGGTTGAGGGTTAAATTTTGAGTGTTGAGTTTCACAATATATATTGGGTAATGGGTATATTTTGCTGGAATTTGGAGAGATGATGATTTCGGCTATTTAATCCAGTCAAATGTTTTTGAAAGTACTTGGAACAGTTGGAAGTTTTAGGATTCAACTGGGTTAGGGAATTACTTTATTTTTGGCGTGGGAGGAAGATCAGAAAGCAAGATAATATTATACCTGTGTAGTCCGTGAACATTAACATTAATAGATATAAAAAAAGAAAGAAAGGGAAGGATAAGAGAAAACCTTATTACATGGTCTTACTAAATGGAAATATAATCAACAAAAGTGCATGGATTTATGTAAATTTTAAAACTTCTTCTTGGTGAATTTAAAGCTGTGGCAAATCTAGTCTATTTATCCTGGCCGCTGGATTTTCTGTCTACTAACTTATGGACTCACTTGGTTATATCATTTGCTAACTACATCTCTGGATAAAAACATACTGATGACTTGCAGATTTGTGCATACTTAGGATCTTGAGAAGTTTGTGAACTGAAATCTAGTTTTTGGGCTTATTTCCTTGATGGGGGACGCAGAAAATGCCCTTCCACCCTCAAAGAAGAGGGCTGCTGGAAGGGAAATCTCTCGAGATAACCCTGGTCTTGATGATGAGGAAGATACTTCTGAACTGGAAACTGGGACTTTCAAAAGGGCCAGTGATCAGGTCTTGGCTACTAGAAGAATTGTCAGAGTTCGCCGACATCCAACCTCTGCTCCCTCTTCCAATCCTTTTGCAGGGATCAGATTGGTTCCTCCCACTGAAGCCGCTGCAAACAAAGCTGAAGTTAAAATAGAAGCACAAGTTGGACTTGGTGTACAAGTTGGTGAGAAAGCAATTTTGGATGATGTAGATGGAAAGACAGAGTCCAACAATGAGAACGAAAGAGGTAAAGAAGCGGAGAGTAAGCAGTCAGAAGTCAAGAACAGTGAGGCTGAGGTCGATGCCGGGGAGGCTGAGGCCAAGGCTGAGTTGAAGGCCGAAGGTGAGACTGAGTCTAAGGTTGAAGCTCAGTCAAAGGCAGAAGGTGACACTGAGACCAAGTCTGAAGCGGAGTCTAAATCTGAGGCAGAATCTGCTGCAAATGAACAAAATTCTGCAGAGGAGAAAAGTAATGCTACCGCTGATGAAGTGAAACCTGCGTCAGATAATGAACCAGCTGCAGAGGAAGACAAGACTGAAAATGCTAGTAAGAAAGATGAAAAAACAGAAAATGTAGATCTAAGTGTGGAAAGTACTCCTCTGAGCTCATTTCAACAGCTTTCGAGTAGCCAAAATGCTTTCACTAATCTTTCCGGAACCGGTTTTTCCAGTTCTTCATTTTCCTTTGGCTCTATTGCAAAAGAAGGATCTGCATTCAGTACTAATACTGGTTCGCTTTTTGGTTTCAAAACCGAACGACCTTCTTTTGGTCTTGGTCTTTCTAACAATGGAAATTCTTCCCTTTTTGGGATGTCAAGCACATCTGTTGTATCCAAGAACGAGGGAAGCAGTTTCCCATCATTGCAAGAGGTTGAAGTTGAAACTGGGGAAGAAAACGAGGAAGTTGTTTTCAATGCCGATTCTGTGTTGTACGAATACATTGACAGAGGTTGGAAGGAACGTGGAAAGGGAGAAATCAAGGTTAACGTTTCAAAACCCATGAAGGACAAAGCCAGGCTTCTCATGAGAGCAAGGGGAAATTACCGGTTGATTTTGAATGCCAGCCTTTTTCCTGACATGAAGCTCACAAGTATGGACAAGAAGGGCCTAACCTTTGCCTGCATGAACAGCACTGGGGAAGGTACAAGCGGGTTCTCTACTTTTGCTTTGAAATTCAAAGACACTTCCATTGTGGAAGAATTTCGCACTGCCGTTAATGCACACAAAGGTAGGACGTCGCCTGAGGTTCTTAAGACACCAGAGAATTCCCCCAAGGCTTCTGATGAGTGAAAGCTGCCGCTCCTTGTTCCTGTGCGGATATTTCTCTAGTGAAGCTTGCCATTCCCTGTGGTAACTGCTGTCCCTTCTCATTGCAAACAACAAATGAAAGTCGTTTAGAATTCGGCAATGTTAAAGCCCCCTTTTGTAGCAGAGTTATAGACGTGTCCGTTTTAGTATTTTGGAAGTGCTGAACTTTCAAGTTTGGATAAAATTTCTTGGGTCCAGACTGGCATAAAAAACAGTCGGGTTGAATGTTTGACACAAGTTTTATAGTTGGCCTGTTACTAAATTATGAGGTATATTTAGACTCCCATTTCATGGCGTGAAATATTTAGTTTTCCCCAACTAATATGTATGTCACTTACCTGTGCTATTTTATTGAAGAGTCTATTTCAATGGGTTACAGTGGTCGGAGCCAAACGATCTCTAATTTACTGCCATTTTGCTTTTTGTTTTTGTTTAGTTTATGGCAAATTAGTTAGAGAAATACAACCGAGAAGTCACTTTGCAAACATCAAAACTGCATGGTTCTTTTGTTTTTTTCCTTGAAGAATTTTTTGCACTTGTGCTTATGAACTTTTTCATGATTATGCATTTTCATCACTGTACTTTTTTTTCTTTTTAATAATTGAGCTCCATTAAGAGTAGTAATTGACTCCAACTTTTAGCAGAATTATAATTTAGGAAATTCTATCATTAATTCAAGGGGCTAATTATTAAACTACGACAAGTTTAGGAAAAACAAGAGTTAAAAAAATTATTATATTCTTATAATTTAAGTTGATTGTTACTATTTTATAAGTCTTAAAATTAAATTATCAACAACAAAAAAAATTGTTCAGGGATTATAGTTGCTAAAACCCTTTTTTAAAAAAATTATTATATTCTTATAATTGAAGTTGATTGTTACTATTTTATAAGTCTTAAAATTAAATTATCAAGAAAAAAATTGTTCAGGGATTATAGTTGCTAAAACCTTTTTTTTCTTTTTTTTTTTCGTTTTACTGTCTTTTTTACTTTCTATCGGAACACTTTGCTGGAAGGGTATAAACCGTTAATTACTAAAGGTCCGTTTAGTTTATAGGTTCAAATCAATAATTTTGATTCTAAATTTAAATTTTATGAGAAAATTCATTGGCGGGAACCTTTTGTTATTCAATTTTTTTGTGAGAGTGAATAATTATAATCATGAGTTTAAGTAAGTTAACCAAATAGGGTTTAAGATTTTTTGGGACAGAGTACATGTAAAGAAAATTAAGAGAGCAAATTTCCTAATTTTATATCTTTTAGGGCATGTTTACTTTGTATGAAAAGAGAGAGAGGAAGTAAGTAGTGATTCCATTTCTCATTTAATAATGAGCCCGTTTAGATTGCTAATTCAAGTTGAGATGTGACTTTATGTGAGAGTTTTTTACTATAGTAAAAAAGTTAGATGTGACTGTTTATAAGAACTTTTTATTGTAACAAAACTCGAATCGGTGAAATAAACAGAGCCAATGTGTTTACTTACAAAATTCGCGAAGATTTAGTGGGTCCCATACAATATAGGGAATAAGGAAAGGGAATACCAATCCTTGCACCTCATGAGTATTGATTTCTTGTCAAAGAGAATGAATGCTAAATTTACTTATCTACCCTTAATGAATTACTATGATGCATATTTAATTGTGTACAATGATATTTTAGTAATTACATTCATAATATTATTATTCTTAATTTTAATAAACATAAAAAGGGAATGTGGTTGTTTCTCATTATAAATATAGTAGTCAAGTAAACACATGAAAAGAAATAAATGACTCTTAATCATATTACTTTACCTTTTATTTTCAATCTCATTACATTTTTCATTACATTCCTTTACGGTTTAATAAACGCACATTTAACCTCTTTATTACCGTGGCCGAAGTGTTTTGGCCATATTACTAAGTATTCGTTTAGTTCTAGGTTTGAACACAAAGCTTAAAGAAAAATTTCTTCTTATACTGGAGAAAACATTGTAGTGTGAACTAAACTTTTTTTTTTTTTTTTTAGTTAGCACCATATACTTTTCTTCTCCAAAAACAACTATCCATGAAACTTTTTTGTTCACTACTAACCTTTTTTTTTTTCCTCATGTCATTCCCTCTCCGTATTATATAGATTATACATTGGGTCTCCATTTAACAGTTGGAACATAGATCCTGTTCAGACTTGTATCCAAGTACAAGGCCCTTATAAGGCTAAAAGGGGTGGCCCAAGCCAGCTATTTCTTGTGATTAGAAAAAAAAAAAAAAAAAATTGGCTATTTCTTGAAGCACACAGAAAGTTTATACGTCATTTTTCTGTAACTACGCGTGCTGTCATTTTTGTCTCTTCCTTTACAAATAACTAGCTCACGGGCTGTTGTTTCCTACTACTAGCGACAATTATAAAGAAATGGACCACCCTCATCTCTCATGATTTCTGTGCAACTAAATGACCACACCACGAATAATATATATATATATATATATATATATCGTCCTTTTAAAGTAAAATTTTGTAAGTTTTAAAGTAAAATTTTACAAATTATCGTTACGGTGCCGAGAATATTTCCCCGGGCAGCATGAAAGAATCCATGTGTGTGTGTGTAGAGAATGATGGTAAGGGAAGATTTAACATTTCAGGTTAAAAAATGGCTATACCTTTTAGTTATTGTGCCAAGGCGTGCCACATGATAATGGCCACATATTCAGCCACCAACATTGTTACTGTACTATTTTATGCCTTGATACTTTAATCAATGATTTTGGTGGAATATAACTTTTCCAGTTTCTTTAATCTGATAACACGCACTCACATACAGATACACATACATGTTACATATATTCTTAGCTGAAAACGTATATATGTACAATTCATTTGGATACAGCAGAACATACTTCAACTTCAACATAAGGTTCGTTCATAATTTAGTGAATGAAAATTACAGACTAGGCAGAACACAACCAGGAACACTCGTTTAGCCTAAAAGAACTTATTGGGTTTTTAATATTTTGTAAGAAACACCATAACCAGTGGCTAAGGAAAAAAAAAAAAAAGTAAAAAGGTTAAAAAAAGGGTACCAAAGCTTAAATTATCTTAGCTAGTTCTTGGTGCATGTATCTGAGCAAGAGTCCACACAGCTTTCCACTTTCTCTGATCCTGTATCCAAGAGATTGAGATATATATATATATATATATATATATATATATTCAATAAATAAGAAAAAGAATATATATATATATATATATAAACTAGTAGAAAAAGGATAAAGGGGGAATGGGAAATTAATTCTTACGTGGGTTATGTTTGGTGCTGAAATTGGTACACAAAGATGAAGCACATCCAAGCTTGCAGAAGTAAAAAATGTTATTATTTGACACACCATCATCCTCATGTAGTAGTGCAGTAGTTTGGGTTTGTTTAAAAGAGGGAATGATGCAGTCTTTGAGGCACTTGTAAGAGCATGAAAAAGCAGAGTGGTTTGGTGTGATTAGGCAGAGGAGGAAGCAACTCTCGTAGCAGCTCTTGAAAGACGCATTTGCCTCCCCAACTAGCACCCCCAAAACCATCAAACCTGTCAAAACCCACCCCATTCTTCTCACCTTTTCCATCTTCTCTTGTTTGTCCGTCAAGATATATATATATATATATATATATTATATGACAATTATTCCAACTTCAATACACATGTATATAGTTGTATATATAGATATAGATATAATAATAATAATAAAAAAGGCTTGGTGGGTGGAAATGAATTAAAGTAATGAGCGTGACCGCGGAAGTCGGTGTCGTTAGTGAAAAGTTGAGAACAAGTGGTAGTGGAAAACGGGAAGTAATTATTATCGTTTTGTAAGGTCAAACTTTTTGACGAATGTAGCAAACGAAGAGAAATGAGAAGAAAAATTGACTGAATGGCAGTTAACTCAATTGGAGTTTAGTCATTTTTTTTTTAATAAAAAGGAAATTTCCCTCAACTGATTGCGGAAATATTAAGATGGATATAATAAACAAAATAATGATATAATAAAACATAAAACAAGTACTGCAGTTTAGAGTGCAATTTGTAACATTTTGGAAATCAAAATAGGAAAAAAAAAAAAGTAATACGGGACCAAAAGTGAAATTAATCCTGTTAATAATTTATTATTATGTATTTTCGTACGTTATTCTTATAATTGTTTGTTACTTATTCTTAATAAGAATCAATTATAAAAATTCCTCCCGAACTTTAGTCTAAATTTCCCCGTTTGATGCAGCGAGATGCTTCATGAGATTGTCAAAGACGCTTAACTTAATAATAACAGTTTTTAAATATTAATAAAATCTTATTAATTTTTGCCTACAATTAAATGTGATTATAATGACAAAGTCAACACAAGGGCAGAAAATCGAGAGAGAAACCGCTTTGGAAGGACTAAGAAGGTGTCACTCGACATTTTATTAATTAATTGATCCATATTATATCAAAGTTCTAAATTTCAATACACGTTCAAAAAGGACTAAGAAGGTTTTTGGTTGCACAAGTCGTTGGAGCAGTGATTCAAACAGCCTTTCATGCTCTCAGAATCTACATTTTAACCATATATGACTCACATTTTCAAGATATATAATAATAAAAATAAAAAAAACTATTCCCAAAAATGAAAATTAGGGTAAAAGATCAAACTAGAGATGCAGATCAAAGAACACAAAATCTAGATATATATATATATATATATATATATATAATATGGTTGAAAGAACATACCATCGTAGAGAGAGGGCAACTATCTTTTAGATCAACAGGAAGGACACATTTCTTCAAGCATTTCCAGGCACAAGGCAAGAATTTCTTTGGCACATAAGGGATCTTTTCCTTCATGTCTATACTATAATGCACTCGAAATAGCACCCTGCATAGCATTTGTCAAACCTTGCCATTGCATATTGCCCAAAGAATAACCCCATGAACATGACCACTAAAAAAATTGCCTTCATATTCTGCCCCTTCAACATGATTACTTTCAACAGTGTTTTTTTTTTTTTTCAAGGCTTAATTTGTTGTCATTTATAAGCCAGATCCCTAGTATTGCATTAATTAAATGTGGATATCTAACGTCTAATTGGCTTCTAAAAGAGATGGTGAAAATGAATTCTCCCTAGAGCCGTATATATGTGACAATATGACAAATTTGGAAGGTGATTTATTATCTCTCTTAAATAAAAGAAGACAACATAAGACATCAAACGCACATTTATGACATTTCAAGCTTTGATTACCAAACCAAAATGGTTGCACTATATAGGAATGCAAACACGCCTAGCACAGTAGCAATAATCCATACACTCACCATAACACCATCTCCTAACATCCCGCGCTTCTTACACCGATAAAAACACATTTTATCACAAGAGTTTTTACCAGCAGAATCCGCAGCCTGATCGGTATAT